TTGTGTGTTTGATTGCTTTTCCTATGCCCTTTATTATTTTTTTAAGAAAAAAATATATAGGGGGGATGTTAAAATAGAAGAAATAATCCATAGGTTACAGACCATATTGGGAAACTTCCATTATTCAACTTCACAAACAATGTGCAGTTGACAGAATGCCACAGTTCAGAAGAGCAAAATTGATACGTGCTGAAATTGAAAAAGATTCTTTTATAAATGAAGTTTACCAAAATTTCCAGCCGAACTGTTGCCTGAAGGAAAGTTCCTGGGCTCCAGCCTCTGTTATGCCTAACAATGAGCCACACAAGTCTGGACAGATGGTTGGATTCCAAAGCATTTCTCATGTTACAGTATTTTCTTCCTATTGTCTCCCCTGAATTCTACAGGGAAAAGGGAAAATGCTATGACTTTCAAAAAGTATAAAAAGTATCTTCAGTACATTTTGAGGAGTCACACATACTAAACATTAATTATCTTCAAAATCTATTCTTCTTTTTAAAAACTGTTTTCTTGGTTAAAATATGATTTCTTATTGTGGGAAGTATGATTTATCTTCCTCACTATCTTCATAGCTAGAAATACAAAATAGGAGATGTATCTGTATGTTTTCCTAGATTTTTTTCTATGTTCTCTGTCTCAAAGTATGGTAGCATTCAGTTTTGAGCTATGGTGAGGCGGAAACCTGGGACTCATTCTTAACACCACTCGTATCCATCCAACACCAATACGGCATTTAGTCCCTAAACAGCTCTCAAATCTGTCCAGTTCTCTATATCCCTAATACTGCCACTCTGGCTTAAAGTCTTGACATCTATCACCTGGATTATTGCAGTAAGTACCTAACTGATCTACCTACAGCGACCTCCCCCCAAGCCCCCACCCCAATATGCACTACAGTCAAAACAGTGATTTTTTTCAAATGCAAATCTGGTCATGGTCCTATTGCTACCAGTAGTTTCCTATCACTCTTAGAGTCAAGACATAATCCCTTACCTGGCACACACCTGCACAATCCCAGTTTAGCGCTCCAGCCTCACCTCATGTCCACTTTCTCCTTTTACCTCTAGATCAGCCAATGTGTCGCCCTTTCGTTCCCTCCCTATTCCATCTACGTAAGGCCATTCTCCACCGTGTTAACTTCACTAAGCCACACTTCTTTTTCAGAGCGTAATTCAGGCATCGCAACCTCAGGGAAGCCTCCCTTGACCTGCCTTGGCTTTACCCCAGTGATTAGGTCAGGTCGTGCTGTTTGCCCTCATGGAACCACTGTCTTACCTCTCTGTCCCGGCACTTAGACGAAAGGGAGAGACTTTGGTTCTAGAACACGGCAATAAAGCAACAATAAAGTAAGTCACATAAATTTTTTTTTGTTTTCCAGTGCATGTAAAAGTTATGTTTACACTGTACTGTAGTCTATTAAATGTATAATAGCATTATGTATTACAAAAAATATTTTATTGCTACAAATGCTAATGATCATTTAAGGCTTCAGCAAATCGTCATCTTTGCAGGCAAAGGGTCTTGCCTCAGTGTGGATGGCTGCTCACTGATCAGTGCAGTGGTTTCTGAAGGGTGGGGTGGCCGTGGCAATTTCTTAAAATAAGTCAGCAATGAAGTTTGCCACATCGATTGACACTTCCTTTTCTGAAAGATTTTTCTGTAGCATATGATGCTGTTTGATAGATTTTACCCACAGTAGAACATCTTTCAAAATTGGAGTCAATCCTCTCAAACCCTGCTGCTGCTTTATCAACTAAGTTTATATAATATTCTAAATCCTTTGTTATTTCAACAATGTTCCCAGCATCTTCACCAGCAGTAGATTCCATCTTAAGAAACCATTTTCTTTCTTCATCCATAAGAAGCAACTCCTCATCTGTTCGAGTTCTGTCATGAACAGATGAGCAGCAGTCCAGTGACACCTTCAAGCTCCACTCTTGACTCTAGTTCTCTTGCTATTTCTACCCCATCTGCAATTATTCCCACCACTGAAGTCTTAAATCCCTCAAAGTCATCTATAAGGGATGGAATCAACTTCTTCCAAACTTCTGGTAATGTTGATATTTTGATCTCCTCCCATGAATCATGAATGTTCTTAATGGAACCTAGAATGTGATTCCTTTCCAGAAGGTTTTCAATTTGCTTTGCCCAGATCCATCAGAGAAATTACTATCTATGGCAGCTATAGACTTAAAAAAATGTCTTTCTTTCTTTCCTTCTTTCTTTCTTCTTTCTTTCTTTCCTTCTTTCCTTCCTTCCTTCCTTCCTTTCTTTTTCTTTCCCTCCTTCCTTTTTTTTTTTTTTTTTTTTTTTTTTTTTTTGAGACAGAGTCTCACTCTGTTGCCCAGGCTAGAGTGAGTGCCGTGGCGTCAGCCTAGCTCACAGCAACCTCACACTCCTGGGCTCCTGCCTCAGCCTCCCGAGTAGCTGGGACTACAGACATGTGCCACCATGCCTGGCTAATTTTTTCTATATATTTTTAGTTGTCCGATTAATTTCTTTCTCTTTTTAGTAGAGACGGGGTCTCACTCTTGCTCAGGCTGGTCTCGAACTCCTGAGCTCAAACAATCCGCCCGCCTCGGCCTCCCAGAGAGCTAGGATTACAGGTGTGAGCCACCGTGCCCGGCCCACTTTCTTTCTTTCTTTCTTTCCTTCGCTCCTTCCTTCTTTCTTTCCTTCTTGCCTTCCTTCCTTCCTTCTCTCCTTCCTTCCTTCTTTCATTCTTTCTTTCTTTCTTTTCTTTCTTTCAAGGTCTTGCTCTGTCACCCAGGCTAGAGTACACTGGTGTCATCATAGCTCACTGCAGCCTTGAACTCCTGGACTCAAGTGATTCTCCCACCTCGGCCACTCCAATAACTGGAATTACAGGCATGAGCCACCACACCCCATTTGAAATGTATTGCTTAAATAATAAGACTTGAAAGTCAAAATAACTCCTTGAACCCTTGGCTGTAGAACGGATGTTGTGTTAGCAGGCATAAAAACAACATTAATCTCCACATCAGCAATAAGGCTGTTTTGCTTTCTTATCATCCATGTGTTTGCTGGAATTGCACTTTTAATTTCCTTCATGAACATTTTCTTTACCTTCACAACGTGGCTAACTGCTGGACACAAGAGGCCCAGCTTATGGCCTCCCTCGGCTGTTGACATGCCTTCCTCACGAAGCTTAATCATCTCCAGCTTTTGATTTAACACAAGAGATGTGTGACTCTTCCTTTCACTTGAACACTTAAAGGACATTGCAACTGGCTTAATATCAATATTGTTGTGTCTCAGGGAAGAGGGAGGTCGAGGGAGGAAGAGAGACAGGGAAATGGGCAGTGAGTGGAGCAGTCGGAATACACACAGCATTTATTGATTAAATTAGCTGTCTTCTGCGAATGTGGTTCCTGGTACTGCAAAACAGTTACAACAATAATGTCAAAAGATCACTGATCACAGATCACCATAGCAGATATAATAATAAATAAAAAGTTTGAAATGTTACAAGAATTACCAAAATGTGACACAGAGCCAGGAAGCCACTACTGGCACCTGCTACTGCAAAAATGGTACCAAGTCACTTCCGGTGAATAAGTCCTCACTACCTCCCTTGTGTGAATACCCTTTCAAGTAACAGGAACTTTATCTGTAATAACTCTGTTTTTGTTCTTCACCAAGAAATAAATGATCTTTTTTAATGAAACAAGGCAGTAATATCCTACAGCTTGACTGTGGCAGTTCTAGCTGTGTACTCCGTGTATGTGCATGTGTGTTTTAACACCAAAGCATGTAAAGTGTACCTGCAAGGTTTAAATGAAAAATACAAAATTTAGATTATACAGTTAGCTCATCTTTCATGTCCTTGCTAAGTCATAGGATAGAGAGAAAGAGAGAGAGAGAGAGAGAGAGAGAGTTTCTTGCTATTTTAAAGTCAAAACCAACTTTTTAAAGTAAAACCATTGGATACCACATTTAAGCCCAACACCAACACAATAATTCACAGCTTTAATATTTTCAATGACTATTTCATTGCATGGATAAACTCGGAGACAGAGGAGCTAGAGTCAGTCATCCGTACATCTGTTACTTTCTTCCTTTTCAGACTCTCTTGTTTTGGTAATAAAATTCCGTGTGCCCTGCAGGAGTGTCTAAACCAGACAGCAACTCCATTATCATTCTGGCAAAATCAGAATAATTTCCTTCCTTTTGTTTACAGTGTACTGCTTTAATAAAGAGGAGACAGACAAGTGGATTTGTTAATCAAGTAACTTTTTCTATTTATTTGCCAGGCATTTTTGTACTGTCAGTAAGTTATCTTGTTCTTGAAATTACCTTGATTGCAATAGCTCCTTATATCACACTCGTTTATAGAAGAAATCTCTCAACTCTGTATATGTTAAATGACAATATAAGTAGATCCATCCATCAACATGATAGATCCATTCATACGATAGATCTAGGATATTGGGTTTTCTGAGATATCACTCCTCTGTTTTAATGGGCAGTGAGAGCTTTAAATTTGGCATCTGTCATTGCCTGTGTTGGTCCAAATTATATCATGCTAAATACCATGAAGATACTGTACAGGGGAGTTACGAGTGTGGTAAACTTCATGTTACCATGTGCTTGTGCCAGAATATTAGAACTGTTATCAGATGCTTCCTGTAGACTTCCAGAGAGGAAAAGAGTGGGACACAGAGGCACTGATGGGAAGTATGCAGAAGATATGTAAATCATGGGGTATTTTCATTTCATCTGGCCCCGTGTGACTCCAGTGACATCACCGTGAATAACGGGGCTCCGCACCAGGACCCTCTCCCTTCTGCACGCTGATGCCTTCGAGGTGCTGCCCCGCTAGCCCAGGCCCTGCAGCGAGTTCACACACTCCCCTAATCAAGTCCTCAGGGGTTGCCATGTATTTTCATGGGTTTGCCCTATTATCCCTCCCTGCTTGAGTTTTACAGATAATTAATGATGCTTCAGTTAATCATCTTCCACCCTCTTTTGTTTGCCAGGTACTTCAGCCTTCAAGGGGCTCCTTTATGGAGGATCGATGTCTTCTCCTAGGTAATTGATCACCGTAGACCCAGGGACACCCAATTCATCGTTGAGGGAGGATAATCATCATGAATAATCAAAAGGCAGTGGCTGCGCTACTGCAAGAGTGCAAGCAAGTGCTGGACCAGCTTCTGTTGGAGGCGCCAGATGTGTCGGAGGAGGACAAGAGCGAGGACCAGCGGTGCAGAGGTGAGGATCTGACGGGAGGCACCAGGGGTGAGCCAGCAGGTTCGCCCTCCTCTCCCCTGCCTGAACGACACATTCTCATCTCTGCCCTATTTTTCTTCTCTTGGCAGATGACCACCGAGAGATGAGTGGATTTCTAGGGCATGAATGGGACGTGGGCTGCGGGCGGACGGGCAGGGGAGGAAGCCCACTTTGTTGCAGTGAATTGCTGTCAGTTCTAATTTTAGGCTTCAGTAAACATGAGGCTACAAGAAACAGTTTAGTTCAAGAAGAACAAAGGGTCCAAGTTGGCTGGTGCACGTAAATTTCAATTATTAAAAAATTGAAGCAACTTCTGAATGGTGGCACGTACTTTTTTTCAAACTAGGATTTTGTGCCTCATCAGTTTCCATAGACTTCTACGGTTTCCATAAATATGTCATCTCACCAGTCCGATCTCTCTTTTTTTGGATCACCAAGACATTCCTCACGCTGTAACGCCACTTGTAAAACAAATCCACTCCTCCATGAACACTGATTGCATCATTTCAGGGTTTAAGAATTGGGCTTTTTGCTCATTTCATAGTTTGTGCCATTCATAGTTTTAGGTAAGTCATTGTTTAGGAAGTTTCAATCACAAAGGCTAGAAAGTTAAACGATTCTTATTTCTTCTTAAGCTAGTTTAGAGGAAGCAACCCTCTGTTTTTAGATTTCTTTTCAGCATTCAAATAAATTTGTCTCCATTTCTATAATTATCTGTCTTTTACATGCTTTTAATATTTTCCTTTGTGTTTTTAGTGCTTTGCTCTTCCTTACAGAAATAAGATTTCTGAATAACGTGCATTCCTCATCTCTTTTGTTGTTGGTTAATACGTCATGAGAAAAGGTTCCAGAAGAGTCTTTTTTCCCAAATTCTTGTACATAAGCATGTACATTTTTACAGAGGCACTTTTAGGTGTCTGTGTAATTCTTAATTATTTGTCACCTGTCATTTGTGTGTCTTTCAAGGTAAAATCCCCTATATGCAGTCATCGCACAACCTTAGTTGATGTGTTTTCTGTCTTTACGAGACAGATACACTAACGTGTGGCTTTACTTGGAGCCATGTGTGCCTGCCGGCCCCAGATCGTGCCTGCAGATGTCAAAATGGCAAGAACTTGGCACCTACAGAAGATGCTCTACGGCTGGCCCTGGTTCTCCCCAGGGCAGTGTGTTGTGTTCTGTCGCTTCCACTGAAGTTTTTCTCTTGTCCTTTTACTACATCACACCCTTTGTCTCCTCAGCCCAAATTCCTTTAAGCTTTGTGTTCTCCCGGGTGAAGACCCTGAGCCCACAATTGAGCAGCATTTTCTTCTCCTTTTTCTGTCCCCGAAGTGCCACAGAATTGGAGAAATAATCAGTTTAGTTCCAGATAAGGCAAATCACTGCTGTAAAATCACTAAATTAGACACGGCTCTTCAGGTAAGCCGCTCAGGGAAGTCAGTGATCAGAGAGAGGCAGAGGAGGCCACTGCCGGGCGTTGGCTGAGCTGGGTGAGCCCAAGGGGGGGACCCTACGCAAAGCCACCGGCAGTCACAACGCTCAGTCCCCTGGCAGGTGGCTCCAGAGCTGCTCCAGTGGGCGGGTCCTGCCGCCACCGATGTCATCACCGCATGTGTTTGAGAGAAAGGCATTATTAGTACGGGGTCACTTAGGGCGGCAGGGAGAGCCGGCAGCCTCGGGGACACAAACACTGTGGTTTTTATTCTTTTCCCTCCTCCTCTCAACCCCGTCCTGTTCCCGCAGAGATTGTCCTTGTCGGCACAGGCAACTACCCTAGCAGCTTCCCCAGAGATGGGGCAGGAGCTGAAATCCAAACAGAGATACATGTTAAAACATACTGTAGGCCAGGCGCGGTGGCTCACGCCTGTAATCCTAGCTCTCTGGGAGGCCGAGGAGCTCAGGAGTTTGAAACCAGCCTGAGCAAGAGTGAGACCCCGTCTCTACTAAAAATAGAAAGAAATTAATCGGACAACTAAAAATATATACAAAAAACTAGCCGGGCATGGTGGTGCATGCCTGTAGTCCCAGCTACTCGGGAGGCTGAGGCAGGAGGATCGCTTGAGCCCAGGAGTTTGAGGTTGCTGTGAGCTAGGCTGACGCCACCGCACTCTAGCCAGGGCAACACAGTGAGACTCTGTCTCAAAAAAAAAAAAAAAAAAAACATACTGTAGTGACATCTTTATGTCAATATGCTCCACGCGACCTTCTGGCACGACCTGTGGGGAAAGAAAGGGTGGTGGGAAGGGGGCAGAAATGAATTGTAAAGAATAGACTTTCTCCATGATGATGAAGAAATCTGAAAGTACTAAAGCTATTCAGTTCAAATATCACCAAAGTCTGTGAACCCAGAAATCATATTTCTATTGTCACTTGACTACTCATGTTCATTCATAGATGGAGAGTCCAAATAATTTATTAAGTGAACTGGGACATTTCTGGAAGTGAAAAGGAGCACTGTTCATAAGTTGAAATTAAGTCAGTGGCAGAAAGAGGGCCAGGCCTTCCAGCTGAATGTCACCTCGGGGGTCCCTAACCCCATGGCTCTGCTCTCACTGGGACGTGCCATCACACAGCCAGTGCCCAGTGGCTGTGGACTGCTGAGTGGGGGCTGATCACTTCAGTGCGATACTTGTAAGTCATTCTTAGTGACTGATGCAGATTATTCATTTGTGTGGCCCATGTGACAGCTCCACAAGGCCAAGCAGTTCTTCCCCACCAGGAAACTTCCTTACAATTGCCCAGTTGGTAGCAAATTCATAAAAAGGCAGAGTTATATTTTCTTTCTTCTATTTGGTTTTCATTTTCTCTGTCATCTGTCTTTTGCTCTGTGTAGTATGTCTCACATAGACATAAGACGAATCATGTCTTCCAGCCGTGATGGTCTTTCCCCCAGCATGGTGTGATTTATAAAGTAAAAGTGCTGAGACAGGTGACGAGAGGTGGCAGTGTTGTCACTCAATGCTGAATGACGTCAGTGGGCCTGGGTTTGATGACAGAGGTGTTGGCAGAGGGCATTCCAAACAGCCAGAACAGGATATGCAAAAACATTAAAGAATTTTATCCAGGGCAATGGCCTGGTCTGACTTGTTTTTAGAAAAAAAGAGGATCAACAATGTGGAAGATGGAGAAGGATGGAACAAGACTGAAAGCAGTAATTTAGGCCAAAATTATGGAAAAAGAAGAAGAGAAAATGGATTTTGGAAACCATAGGATTTGATAACCAATTAGATTTGGGGAGGGAGAGAAAGCAAAAAGTAGACCGACTCCTGGGTTTGGATTTGGGTAACTAAGTGAGGTGGTTTCATCCCTCAGAATATAAAATATAAGGGAAATCAGATATAGAAAAAGGGAATCAGTTTGGTTTTGGATATGCTGAGGATGAGATGTCTACAAGACAAGTACCTAGAGATTTATGGCTGGCAGTCGTATATACAGGTCCACAGTCCCTTACTCAGAGCCCTGGGGTTACAAGTACTTCAGAGTTCAGAACTTTACCCATGTTAGGAGGGCCTTGTGGTGCAGCATGTTACACTCATACTCCAGCAGAAGGTCAGGCAGCACCTAGAGTAAAAATATCAACATTTTTTAACTTTTGGGTCATCTCAGCAAGTCCCCAGACAGTCTGTAAATACCCTTTAGGCAATTCAACTGTGGTTTGGGTGCCAAAATTTAAAAAAAAATTTCCAGTTTCCAGAGCTTTTTGCATTTCTGAAGTTTGCATAAGAGATTGTGTTCCAGTATAAGTTGGTTTGATTCCCATTAAGAGATTTAATATATCTACTAATGTGAAACAAGGCCATTGTACAATTAATTCACACCATTTCAAATCTTATATGTGTTTTTTATATTTATTGTCTGAATTCAGTTGTATCCATGGTGAAAGGATGAGCTAAAGTGAGGTTTTAGAGAAGCAAACAGAGGTTGGTCAAGTTGACTTTTTGCATTGACCAACTGCCACAGCCCCAAATGCCATTCCATTCCAGTCCCTTTCTCATTTTACAGGGAAAATAATATTTCCTTCATTCCTTTCTCTGATTCTTCATGCTGAGCTAGTCACTGAAGTGCTTTACTTCCTGCTAAAAACCTTCCTTAATGCCTGACTACCCCAATTTACCTGTAGGGCAAAATAGACCAGGGCCACCCCTGACAGATAGCACCTCGTTGTTATTTGGAGTGAGAATCAACAACAGCTTAGACCAGCCAGCAAAAGGTAGGGAAAAGTTTTTTGTGTTTTTTTTGCCACTGAGGTGCTTCATCATAACATTGGTAGCTCAAAAGCCTTTTCTTGAACTGCAATTTTCTTACCTGAACTCTGACCTTTTCAGCTTCACTCCCCAGCGAGTTAAGAACCCTGCTCCAGGAGGCAAAGGAAATGAAGTGGCCCTTCGTGCCCGAGAAGTGGCAGTACAAACAAGCCGTGGGCCCAGAGGACAAAACAAACCTGCAGGATGTGATCGGCGCTGGCTTGCAGCAGTTACTGGTAGGAAGAGCCGCACCACCTGTTCCTCTGACATTTCCAACTGAGGCGTTTCAACTCTAAGTGGTTTAATAGATTAAATTTCTTTGAAGCACAAGACAGGCCCCTACCTTGATGGTCAGCTCTGCCAGGTTGACTAATGTGGGGAAATAGCTGTTCGAAGAGCAGTGCTCACCCTTAAGATCTTGTGTTGGAAAGCCAATCTAGTAAAAGTGCAGAAGGGTGGTCAGTGGTCTAATGTGAAACCTGTCATCCTGGAAGATTTCCACATCCTTGGTGGGCCAGAGAGGTGGTTTTGATTGCACCATGACTCACAGCATTTTTATTGTGAGATGCCAATTTCAAAACGTTGGGTAGCTCAAAAGCATAAATTCACCTTTGCTTCATCAGTGTGACCTGCTGTCATGAGAAGCAATGACAATATCCTCAAAATTTTACTTTATTGGTTTACATGGGATTGTATTTTTGGGCCATTTCAAAATAAATGTGTAGACACTGTCTTTGCCTATGGAAGCAAACTCTAGGAAAGACCCCCTGATCTACAGATAGGCAACAGCATCTTTAGAGACTACATAGAAATAATAAAAAATCCTCATCTCTCATTTGCCCAAAAAACAAACAAAACAGGTTAAGTAGACTAGGGATTGCAGGCAAAGGAAAGTGAGTACTTGGAAAGAATGCAATGGTGAGTCAGGGTTTTAAAATAAACGTGGTCAGTATTAGTGCAGAAGTGGAATGGTATCATAGCTACAATTTATATATCACTGTAGAGTTTACCAAGTACTTGCACATACATCATCTCATTTAATTCTCAGAATAGCCCTACGGTGATTCAGATGCTCCTCAACTTACAGTGAGTTAGGTTGTGTCCCCATAAACCCATGGTAAGTTGAAAATATCCCAAGTCAAAAATGCATTTAATACACCTAAGCTACCAAACATCATCATTTAGCCTGGATTAACTGAAATGTGCTCAGAACGCTTACATTTGTGCACAGGTGGGCAAAATCAGCTAACACAAAGCATATTTTATAATAAAATGTTGAGTAGTTCATGTGCTCTACTGAATACTGTACTGAAAGTGGAAACCAGAATGATCGTATTCTACTAAATGTATGTCACTTTCACACCATCGTAAAGTCAAAAATTGTAAGTGGAACCATCGTGAGCTGGGGGTTGTCTGTATTACCGCTATCATCCCTGCTTTACAAATGAAGAAATCAAGATTCAGAGAGAGTGATTTGCCCTGGGGAACAGGCCAGTAGTGGTGGAGCTGTGACTGAGACTTACACCGTCTCCTCCCTGTGACGTCAGTTCCCCATCAGGAAGCCCCGGTGAAAAACTTGAAAGCACAGGTGGAAGCCGTAGACTCATTCACCCTAAAGCGAGCTGCAGGATGACCAGCAGAGCTTTCTGCAGCAACAGAAATGTTCTCTATCTGTCCTGTCCAATGTGGTAGCCACTAGCCACACGTGGCTCTGGAGCACTTGAAATGTGATTAGTGTGACTGAAGAATTGAATGTTTAGTTTTATTTATTTTTTATTAATTTCTTTGTCAATAGCCACCTGTGGCTGGGGCTACCATTTTATTGGCCAGTGCAGCTCGAAAGCTGTGGTTATTAAAGCGCAAAACGACAGCATAATGATAGCATCAGTATCACCTGGAAACTGGTGGGAAATTCAAATTCTTGGGCCCCAATCAAAACCCCTGGGGGTGGGAGTTCCGCAATCAGGAGTAGCTGAGCTTTCCAGCTGATTCTGATACATGCTGAAGTTTGGGAATGACTGCACCAAAAAGCATAGGGTGGTGAGCGAGGGGCAAAGACAGAGCCTGATGGGGGTGTCAGTGGGGAGCAGCAAGGTGAGGAGTATGGCAGAATTCATTGCGAAGGTGGTCAGAGACCAGCCAGAGAAGAAATCCCTTTTTCATCTATTCTGGGAACTGTTGTTTGGACGGGAGCTGCCCTGGAGGAGCTGATGGTTGCTTCCCCTGCTTGGAGATCCCTCGTGTAGTTAGGCTGGCGGCACATGAGAACTTTACAAGCCTTCCAGTCCTTCCAAGAGCAGCCTCACACAGGGAGTGACCCCCACGTCTGGCTCAGCAAGTTTCTCTGACTTTTGAACACAGGCTGAGAGCCTGAGATGCATCACATCGCGATAGCTGGGTTTGACTCCTCCTGTTCCACCCTGCGGTCACCAGATTCCTCTTCCTGCTTTCAAAGCTGGTAGTGACAGCAGCTGAAAAACTGAAGACGATCTTTTTAAAAATTCAAGTCTCGCTGCATTTGGGGGTTCACGTGAGTTGAGAGACAAGCTACTCACACTTGTTACATGTTTTGAGAGTTACTCATTATTCTTCTCGTTATGCCTCTCCATATAGTGCACAGATCTCACAATTGGGGAAATAGAGGCATGGATAATTTAAGAAGTTTGTGTCCAGATCACGAGGTCGCTCCGTGGCAGCTCTAAGAAGCAGTCCCTTAGGCCTTCTTTAGTCCCTAATGTATTTAATCCAGGAGCTTTCTGAACTCTGAGCATCATTTTCTTTAGCCTACCCAGCAAGCTATAAATTAAGTGACCACACCTCCTAAAGACTCTTAGGATGCCGTCCTATTGTACCAGAGCCCAAGTGCACAATTGCGAAACCACTCTGTTTTGTAAATATGGAGATCTATAGCGCCCTGTGAGCCAGGCTCTCCCCAACTCTCTCGCTACTTTTAATGTCTTGGCTTGTTAAAAGTAGCTCCAGTAAATTCCATGATTCCCTTTTGTTCCATTATGCTATCAGTTTTAATACTAGAATTTACTGAAGCTGTATGGTCACATTTTCGTAACCAATTCATTGCGAGATTTTGTTCATACATAAGAAATAGTTAAGGGCTACTGAGTTTGTCTTTTTAGTCTTATTATCTCTTTTTATAATTTGTTCATAAATGTAAGCTTTCCATGATATTTTGTTTCACCTTGAAATGAATCCTTCCCATAAAAAGTTTCCCCTCCATTGTAAAAATTAGCATTCCACTTAAAGCCTAAACACCGGGTCTTTAATTCCACAAGTAACAAATTAAAGTTGAACACAGAATGCTTAAGAAAAAGGCAAGTTATAAACAACTATTTTCCACAGTTCAGGAGTTGCTAAAATTAAGGGTCATGTATAATTTTACTGTCTCAGGCTGAAGTTAATCAAGAAAAATGACATGTGTTTTGTGCTTTGCTTTCTGGTCCCCTCTTCCTCCCTCCCTCCCTCCTCTCCTTCCCTCCTCCCCCACTCTCCCCAATCCCTTTTCCTTTGGTGTGTGGCCACAGACAGAAATTTATGACAGGGGCCAAGCTCCTTTACACTCCACACAAAGCTTGCTGACTTGAGAGAGTGTGTCCGCCCTCTCCCAGAAAAAACACCTGCAGCACACTCCCCGAGAAACCTGGGGCTATGGGAGATTAATGTGGCTGTAATAGCCGGGCAGGGTTTTTGGTATTATGCACTCTCCCCAGGTAGATGGGTCTTTTCCGAGATGATACCAATTATTTATTGCTGAAACATCTGTTGATAACTGCAGCTGCCCTTGTAAAACAAAGCGTATCACGGGGTCACAGGCTACAGCGACCTAAAATCCTACCTCATGCTAGTTTCAGTCTATTCAGCAACACCCTCAAGTCCGTGGGTTCCCGTCGTCTGTAATGTCTCATCGTGCCATAGAAAATACTTTGTAAACACTGCATTACCCTGCCCCACCGGCTTTGAAGTATTATTTCATCTTCATTGGTAATTTATATTCCGGGGCCATTGTACTGTGGGAAAAAGAGGGGGAACCTTTTTTGTTTTCCATTTAATTGTATATCGCCTGACACTTTGACCTGTATTATTAGTATTAGTCAGAAAAAGGATTTTCTCCCTCTCTTATTTAAAAATAAAATTTCAAGGGAAAGTAAGCGCTCCCTTCAGCTCTTTTCACTCAAAACAATGTTTACACTCGGAGAGGGGAAGATGAAAAGCACGAGCAACTTTTTTCAAGTGTCGGAGAAGGGCATTTCAGTTTTTGAAAGAGAACAGTAAGGCCCTTATAAATATCATTCAGCCAAACCTTTGATGGATTTTTCAGAAAGTACTGAAGGCATTTAGCGCGAGCCTCTGTGGAGCTGGGCTCCGGGCTGTGGCCCCAACATGCCAGGACATGCCTCCGAGCGATGCCACCTTCTGGAATTTTTTTCAGTGTTGTTCACTCTTCTAAACAAAAAAGCTGTATACAATTAAAAGAAAATCTGAAAATAAAGCATTTGAGAAGGAGAGTCCAGGGCGTTAGGGTTTGCATGTCTCTACCATTGGGAGCAGATCTGGCTGCAAGGCCAAGAAGGATTGTGTGAGAGACCCTGAGTCTGAACATTCCCTGCCCAGGTCAGGGGGGCTGGCGGTGCAGGTGGGGGGCCGGCTCTCCCTGGCCCTGTTTCTGTGGAGGGAGAGACCTGCTCTGGGTCAGCCCTGAATTTATTGTGGTGCCTCCTCAAGGCGACACAGGGTCATTTCTATAGGTTGACCGGGAAGTACAGTCTGAGGAGATGAAGCAGGTTGAGAATGACGATTTTCTACAACCATGAAAATAGGTAATCGGATAGTCTCTATAGCATAAATACTTTTGGACAATATCTGTGCTACCTTGGAGTGATTTAAAGAGAGAGCAAAAGTAAATAAATATTTAGTCGTTTTCTTACACTGATGCTATCTTGGGTGGAAAACCTTCGTGGATGAATAACATTCGATAAATGTAGCTTCCAGAATAGTTTTTTAAATATGTCTTTTCAAATAATCTTGGTGCCTTTAACTTGTTGATATTTTTATTTTTGAACTAACTTTAGATATTAATGGGGCAAGAATTAAAACATAAATAAACATGAATAAATCTAAGAGTTGGCCATCACAAGATTGCAGGAAATGCTTTAAAAAATACCTAGTGTACCTGGCTTGAGAGCGCAGAGGGTGGGGGAATCTTTATCAAAAGGAACCAAAC